GAATTCACTTAAGCGGCCATTTTTTAGCGTGTTTTAAAAGACGACGCTTTTTAAAAAAAGGTCGTCATGTTTACATATAATAGACGACCCATTTAAAAAAAAACCGTCATCTTTACACAAAATAGACGACCCTTTTTAAAAAAAAAATCATCGTCTTTACTTCATAAAATAGTGGAAGCAGAAGGGACGTAGCGGGAATTGTAGCTTTGTCGTCTAAGCTCTGATTGAGGTCCATGATTCCTGGCTTCATTCCCTTTTCAGCAAGGTATCATGGACCTCAATCAGAGCTCGGGCGACAAAATTCCTTCCCGGTCCAAAAGTCAACTTTTAAACTACTAAAATATTCTAGGGGTATTTTAGTCTTTTTCTCAAATAAATTAATAATTAAATATTAATTTTAGGTTTGGGTTATTACATGATTCCTGGCTTCATTCCCTTTTCAGAAAGGTATCATGGACCTCAATCAGAGCTCGAACGACAAAACTGCAAATTCCCGCTACGTCCCTTCTACTTCCACTGTTTTTATGCATCAAAACCGAATAACAGCCCCATACTAGTTACATGCCTCTTGAAAACATTATTTGGTAGCCCTTTATTGAATGTAACAGCCCCATACTAGTTACATACATCTTTACATATAATAGACGACCCTTTTTCCAGAACAAACCGTCATCTTTACTTCATAATAGACGACCCTTTTTTAAACAAACCATCATCTTTACATATAATAGACAACCCTTTTTTTTTTTTTAAAGGGTCGTCTTTACTTCATAATAGACGACCCTTTTAAAAAAAAAACCGTCATCTTTACATATAATAGACGACAGTTCTTTCAAAACAACCATGTCTTTACCAAAAAAAGGACACTTGATTTTTAAAAGACAACGCTTGTCATACCTGCTGTCGTTGTTTTTGGTCAGATTTTAACTCTGAAGAAAACCTTTTTAATAAGACGACGCTTTTTTATTTGTGTGCGTCGTTATAAAAAAATATTCAACAGTACCTCCGTTTTTCAGTTGTTTAAGTCACTTATCCACGACGGTTTTTTGTTACCGTCGTCTTTTTAAATACAACGACGGTTTTTTCTTCTACCGTCGTCTTTTTCTGATCGTCTTTTTCACTTTTTGTAGTAGTGACCATCAACTTTTATGAAGAAGGTGTTTACGCAAACGATTGCAGTCGAGATTGGTGGTTTCCGTGGCCAATAGAACGTGTGGATGTTCCACAACAGTCTAATCAGTGAGCACAACTTTTTATTTAATTTTATTACTTTAAATTGTCAATTACGTTAGAACGTCATTACTTGAATTGATCGAGTTCTTGTTTTACTTCAGAGGCGATTGTGGCATGTTCGTGTTGAAGTACATTGAGCTTTTGAGCGCTGAGATTCCTTTAGCTGCTTGCACCTCGCAAACATGCCCTTTTTCCGGTTGAAGTTGGCTGCAGAGATATTACAGGGAGATGCTTACATGCCATGATATTGGTTGAAATTGGTTTAGGTACATGATGATTAAATTGGTTTTGGGAATCTCCAATTTGAAACTCATGTAAATACACAATACAGACCCACAGGTCCTTTTCAAATTCTATCTCTGCTCCTCAATTCTTCTTCGTCTTTCTCAATCTTAGTGTATTTGTGTACAGAAATTTAGATTTAAGTTATTGGACAATAACAATGTTTTCATTTCGATGCATTATAGCGGATGCATGTTTTCATTTCGATTAGTGTGATATTACGCTATGTTTATTCTCATATTGTGCTAAATGTATATGGAGCTGGATGCAGAGCATAGACAGAAAAATGAAGAATCTGAAATGGAGATGTTGAGGCTTGGTGAGGAGAAAAGTAAATGGATCTGTAAATCTATTGCACGTGGGCAATCTAAATGGAAAGGCAGATGCGTTGTTGAAGTTAGACACATGTCATTCCCATACATAGAATGTGCATATGGAGTGTAAAGTTTTTTTGGATTTAATCAAACAAACATCTGTGTAATATTGGCCTAACTCCTTCACGACATTTACCTAACCTTAACCAAACTGCATTGAATTGGGATTTGAAGACTGCATATGTGAATTGGGATTTGAAGAATGCATATGTGAGTGGGGACTGATGGCTTTTTAAGTGTATTAAGGTTGCATCTTGATAAGGTAATTCTGTAGGGGGAATAGGCGGCTATGCCCTTGCCTCCAATGTTTTACTCAACCATGCCCTTTTTATAGAAACACATGAAAAAATGTCCCCAGCTGCAATGCTATAAAAACTCCCTATTGGTTCCGTACCGGCCCTCGGATTTGAATCCCTATCTCCTTTATAATCGGTTAATAAATTCGTTGATTTTCTTTATTTTATTGGTTTTGGGTAGCTCAGTAGCATAAAAATAATGTATATTAGTGCGTCTATATTGCATGTATGCTGCGTCTATATTGCATGTCTATTGCATCTATATTGCGTCTATATTGCTTGTTTATTGTGTGTGTATTGGTGGTTTATTGCTTACGAAGGAAATAAACAACAATACACAGGCAACAGACAAGCAATATACACACAACAGACAAGGAATATATACGTAATAGACATGCAATATACATCAGTCCCTAATTACATCATCCATAAGGAAGTCGTATTGAATATGAAATTCTACTTAACAGTTGTTCTTCCTACTAAAAGAAAGAATAAGGATTGTGTCCCCCCTTAAATCTAACTTCTTAAATCTTACTTGAGTGGTACTTTTGCCCCCAATAAACATCAATATCGGAGCAATAACATGTGATATACATGCAGTAAACAATCAATAAACCTTCAATAAACATTCAATATCAAACCAATAACATGCGAAATACATGCAGTAAACAATCAATAATCTTTCAATAAACATGCAATATCCGAGCAATAACATGCGATATACATGCAGTAAACAATCAATAAACCTTCAATAAACATTCAATATCGGACCAATAATATGCGAAATACATGCAGTAAACAATCAATAATCTTTCAATAAACATGCAATATCCGAGCAATAACATGTGATATACATGCAGTAAACAATCAATAAACCTTCAATAAACATTCAATATCGGACCAATAATATGCGAAATACATGCAGTAAACAATCAATAATCTTTCAATAAACATGCAATATCCGAGCAATAACATGTGATATACATGCAGTAAACAATCAATAAACCTTGAACAAGCATTCAATATCCAATCAATAACATGCGATATACATGCAGTAAACAATCAATAAACCTTGAACAAGCATTCAATATCCAATCAATAACATGCGATATACATGCAGTAAACAATCAATAAACCTTCAATAAACATTCAATATCGGACCAATAACATGCGAAATACATGCAGTAAACAATCAATAATCCTTCAATAAACATTCAATATCCGAGCAATAACATGCGATATACATGCAGTAAACAATCAATAAACCTTGAATAAGCATTCAATATCAAATCAATAACATGCGATATACATGCAGTAAACAATCAATAAACCTTCAGTATACGCAAATAAACAATCTATATACACCGAATAATTATGCAATTTTAAAAAAATGTATTGTCTTATTATTGCATCATATTGGCCCTGTATTGTGATTTTATCGTCTTCGTATGACTTTATTTTTTTAAAGTTAGTCTTGGAAATTTTTTGTTGGATTTCAGAAAAATAAATGCTTTTGTTTCAAAAAATAATTCAAGAACAAAAATTACAAAATGAGTTTGAAAACTCATTAGTAGTGCGTGCAACATGTCTTTTTGGGGAAAACTTTTACAATCCTTGAAACTGTGCACTTAATTGGTCATTAAAAGAACAAATAATATGAAAATTGATACAAGTAATAAAACTAATACCAAGTCCTTAATGGACTTCAGTATATTCAGCACCGTAGCATCATACGTGTCATCTTGCTGCTCTGCTTAAGCGGATGTTACATCAACCCATTCGAATCCATTGCAACTGGTGGCTCCCTAATTGTAGGCATCATATATGCAAAATAATTCTGTCAGAGTTAGACCTAGGTTTTTTTCACCCACATACATATTCTGGAAATGAAAACTTACGTAGGAGGTTAGGCACTTCCAAAATGACTTCTTTCGATTTTTATCTGATTTTGAAACCCCAAGCACCATTGCAGCTCCACAATATTGACACCTCTTTGTTTGAGCGGGAGATGAAGACGAAGACATGTTGAATCTTCTCACTTGTACCTCTTCTCACTAAAACCTCTTCGGACTCATACCTTCTCACTCATAGTTCTCAGTCATACCCCTTCACTCATAACCCTAAACTTCTCACTCAGCTCTCTCTCATCTCTGCCCAAATCGAATTATATACTTCTTTTGTGTGTGGGTGGGTTGGTCACGATCTAGACATCTGTACCGTCAAAATTATGGCACCTTTTACCCCAAAAACCAATATAATATTTCACTACCAAATATTCATCTGAAAATTGAGGGGACACTGCTTTAAATATATTATTTTAATTATATTTCATTAAGGCAACTAGTTGGATAAGAATCCATCATCATTGGTTCCATTCTAATAACATTACTAGGGTTACTTTGGTGTGGAAAAATGAAAAAGTATCTGATGAGACGTGACTAGTCAGTAATCCATCACATTTGTATCAATGAATGTGATGGGGGGAAAATCCTAAAAATGGCTATGCAAATATGTTATTAATTGACTTTTTGACTGTCTGACTCTCTTTGCATTTCGATGACGTTTTCCCTTCACTTCTCTTGAGTTTTAGGGTGTTGGGTTCAATTTCTTTGAAAAGGGTCAACTTGGAAAAACCTCAAGTGGAAACACCTTTTCAAAACACTACAAACAGAGGCTAAAACAAAATCAAAACCCCATATATTCTCATTTCTCCCCTCTTCCACTCCTCAAATCGTTCCATTCCAAAAATATTTCAATGAATTCAAAACATTTCACTACACTCAGAGGAAAGAGAAGGAAGCATATCCATTTGGATATGCCCCAAGCCTTCATCCCAGAGTTAGCTTGGTTTAAAGTGATGTTATACGTGGCAACCCAATCATCAGAAGATCTCTTCCGTATGGCATCTGTGTGCCCATTATTCCATACGTTGGCAAACACTTCACAACTGTGGAACACCATTTCAATGGCAAAGTACCCAGACCATCCTAGTTGGTACCATGGCAATCCTGCGATCCAGCTTTTCTTGCAACAATGCAGGGCTTGCGAGAACCCTGAGTTGTTATTTAGAGAAGCGTTCGAAGTGTTTTTCATGCAGGGTAACGTGGAAGTGTTGTATGGGATGTGCATTGCAGCCACAACAGGCTATATGGAAGCTACATATCTAGTTGGACTACTTGGCATGTCCGGATTTGGTCAGTCAAAAGAGGATGCATATGAAAGGAACCAGGGATGCTTTGAGACGAAGATTAAACCGAGTTTTCTCTGTTGCTAGACATATCGTAGATATGTTTTACTATGGGAAGATTAAGTTCAATCACTGCAGCGCTTGTAACAACAACGAATGGTGTTTTGTTATTCAAGGCTGGCCTACTGAAGCAAAGATAAATCCTGCCTTCTGGACTTGTTGCAATCAATGCAAATGGCACCTTGAGAGTGTTTTTTGGTTCAAGGTGATGCTTGTGTATGTTGTGCCAGGGAATCCATACCCTTATAATTAGTTGTAGTATGTTTTTACGATTTTTATGCATTGTGGACTTGCTTCTCTTCAGTTCTAGGTTGGCTGGCTACGTTGTACAAATGTTGTTTAAATGTTGGGTTTTAATCTATTTTGTTTAGTGTTTGTGCTGTCATAAACCGTTTTATATATAAATGTATAATAGATATATTATATAGTGGAATGATTACTGACATCATAGACGTGTACGAATGACATTTTACTAACACATACATTTTGATGAACTGCAATCTTAATATTTGGTAAATGAAAAGGCATGCATGGAGTGAGTAGGCGTCTTTTCATCGGTGCTTCGGAATGACATTTTCCCACTTATCACATCCCAAACGATTTGGTTACATGTTTCTTAAGCAAAACTTGAACAGTGAATGACTTTGAATAATTTTTTCCTAATGTTGTAGAAAAAACATCCCTTTTAACCCTAAAAAGAAAAAAATAAATAACAAATTGAAGAAGAGAGAAACTGATTAGTACCAGAAATGGTCTATTCGCACGCAAAATAAAAATAAAAATAAAAATAAAATTTTTGAGTAAATATAATTAACAAATGTACAGGCTAAAAAGTAATATAATAATAATAATTTAGGGTAAATAATAATAAAATACTAATGTAGTGTAACCATGAAATAGGGAATTCAGTAGGAAGATGAAGTCTCAATGAGTTCGTAGCAATTTTCGGAACATTATTGTGATTTTTGTGTATTTAGTTATGAATTTTCTAAGAAAATGTAATAAAATAATAATTTATGGTAAAAGATAAGGATGTGGCCATGTTGACTGACGTACACTTGTGCAAGTGGTGAAAGGTGAGAGGCTGAGATCACGTCAGGTGTCTGCTTGCAATTATTTTGGTTTTTTTAGTGCAAAAATCTTTGAAAAAAGGTAATAAATAGTAGAAAAATCCTAAAAATGCCTCGAAAATTACTCCGACCTTCTTGTGACGTTATGAAACTAGGGGAACCTATAAATCATCCGTTTCGCAATGAAAAATCCGAATTGTTTTAGATAACTCATTTTCCTCTTAACCCTAAGTATATATGTTTGTTAATTTTAACTTCAATAACCTACTTCAACAAGCATCTCCCGTTAATGTTCGGAATTATTTTGTAAAATGCGTAACCATGAATCAGGGAAGTCAGCAAGGGAGATGGAGTCTCAATGAGTTCGTAGCAATTTTCAGATCATTTTTCTAATTTTTGTGTATTTAGTTATGAATTTTCTAAGAAAAAGTAATAAAATAATAATTTAGGGTAAAAGGCAAGGATGTGTCCATGTGGTGACGGGCTGAGATCGCGCTAGGTGTCCTCTTGCAATCATTTTGGCTTTTTTAGTGCAAAAATCTTTGAAAAAAGGTAATAAATAGTAGGAAAATCCTAAAAATACCCCGAAAATTACTCCGGCCTCCTTGTGACGTTATAAAACTAGGGGAACGTAGAAATCATCCGTTTTAGCAATGAAAAATTCCAAATTGTTTTAGATAACTCACTTTCCTCTTAACTCTAAGTATATATATTTGTTAACTTTAACTTCAATAACCTACTTCAACAAGCATCTCCCGTTAATGTTCGGAATTATTTTGTAAAATGAGTAATCATGAATCGGAGAATTCAGCAAGGGAGATGGAGTCTCAATGAGTTCGTAGCAATTTTCGGATCATTTTTCTAATTTTTGTGTATTTAGTTATGAATTTTCTAAGAAAAAGTAATAAAATAATAATTTAGGGTAAAAGGCAAGGATGTGGCCATGTTGACTGACGTACACTTGTGCAAGTGGTGAAATGTGACGGGTTGAGATCACGCCAGGTGTCCTCTTGCAATTATTTTGGATTTTTTAGTGCAAAAATCTTTGAAAAAAGGTAATAAATAGTAGGAAAATCCTAAAAATACACCGAAAATTACTTCGGCCTCCTTGTGACGTTGTAAAACTAGGGAAACCTATATCATCCGTTTCGCAATGAAAAAATCCAAATTGTTTTACATAACTCACTTTCCTTTTAACCCTAAGTATATATGTTTGTTCACTTTAACAAGTATGTTTTCTTAATATTCGTTATTTGTAATAATACAAGAATTAGTTTCCTTTCATATATAAGGATGTAAAATTATCTGTTTTGTTATAATAATGTACATATATAATAATTGCACACTGCTTTGAAGCCATCATTGCAACTGTGCCTAGAGCTTTGAACACGTCAGAGGTATTCAATAAGTTGTCCATATGATGCCGCATTGGGAATTAGTAATATATTTCTATCATGTCCAATCACATAAAATAATGCCATACTTTTTTTGAAAAACCTCACACCAGTCAAGCAATTTTAAAATATTAGTGAATATTTGTCCTAGTCTATATGAGTGATTATATATTCACTTTGCATTTTTTTCACAGTATATGTTAAGTTTGAGGGATTCCACAAACATATAATATAAAGACATAAAGCAATAGTAGGAGATGAACCAGTACAAAAAATAATAGACTGAAGTAGATGGGCACTTTGCATCGTGTTATCGTAATTAAAGACATCAAAATATTAAGGTTGAAATCTTCCATAGTAGTAAGCATAAAAATAGGTTTGAAGCAGAGTTTAACGAAAATTCCAATTCCATTGATTTGCCTCTCCTCAAACACGAGAACCAAAATGGTTACTTCCCTTGTTGAGTATATTTGTTAACATCGGAAACAGTAATAGATGACCAATCAAACCCGAGTACGACGAGTTTTGCATAGGACCGGAAGTAGTCGAATCCAGCTTGCATCACACGCTTCTTTGACTCCACTGCATAAGATGACTTCTTGTATTTTTGAACAGCTACACTCTGAAGTCGTTTGTATCTACGCTTCATGCGCTGCAACTTCGCCCTATCCAGATTGGCCTGCCTTTTGTCATCTTCAATTTGGCCTTCAACGAATTCCAAACGTGCCCTTGCCTTTTGGATTTCATCACCAAGTTGAAGATGCCTCTCCTTCCAGAGAGCAAGAACTCTTTCATGCTCAAAACTTCCAACAAAATGGTCATTCTGCCTAGGAATGTGACACTGCTTGTTTGGTGACTCACTTGTGTTTCAAAGGCAGTCTTTGTTTGGAGGGGTATTTATTATGCTCACATCAAACTAGGTTAGTAAATCCATTCTATAGGGGGAGAGAGTTTCAGTATATGGAGACAGATTCGGTGGAGGGGTGAGTTTTTTGTGGAGGGAGAGTTTCTATGAAGGGGTGATAGTAATACCAATAAAAGGGTTCTCGCCAAAAAATATTTGGTTGACAATGTATAAATTAATTTCTGGTTTGATACAATCTAAGTTTAATCCTAACTAGTTAGGTTAGTTTGGTTGGGTTCACTAACTAGATGTCACTTCCATTGAGTTTCTTTCAACCACTAACAGTGGTGTAAGGAGAGTGTGAGGTTGACATGCTTGAAAAGCAAAACCTGACACCTCTTCTTTAAAAATTGAAATAAAGTACATATGTTGAGTACACACAAGCTTTGGTATGTTGGTCTATAAACCTATGTCCCTTTTCTCAAATGAAATTGCATATGCAATCCTCATCCTCTAAAACAAATAGGATTATTCAAGCATGTCAACCTCTTTAGGCGCCAACAACATAGTCGAAGATAACAAATTGGAGTCGTAGGTTTCATTTCCACGTTGTACTCGCCGACCCCTTCCATTTTCAACATCATTTGGGAGTGAGAGGGACTCCGGTGATCCATTAGAGGCAATACATGCAGTCAGTAGCAAGCTAGATTATACTTCCAGACTGATCAATTCATGGAACGAGAAATGTGTTGAAGACGAGGCCATTTTAGCCAATCTTAACATTAGAGTGAACAAAGCATTCTCCCAAAAGAACAAGTACTTGAAGCTGAGGAGTTGGATACATTAACGAAGAGCACCACAGTGAAATGGAGTTGGCATTCAACGAAGGATTTGAAAAATTCCGAGCATTTGCGGCAACTACTCATACAAGTTATAATTGGGACTATGTGTCCCCTGATGCTGTGAGAGAGATACTAGACGGTGGTAGTGACATGAGTGAGTATAAGAACGTCAAAGCTGCTCAAAAGAAGCCGACCGATATGACTAAGTGATTGCGGCTACCGCTATTCAGTTGGTTAAGGGTGATCGTGGTATTGCACAAATTAGAAGTATATTCCCTTAATGTCATTATCTAATTTAAAATAACACAAATATCAGTTTCATTTGCTTTATATATAATTATTGGGACTATGTATTGCAAGTCAACATGTGTTCCTTCTGTCTAACATTATATTTTGCAAATACCAAAATATTATTCAATAAGCAGTCAATATCATAGCACATTTGGAATCAGTAAAGCCCCATTTTCATGTCCGTTTACATTAATGAGCTGGCGTACTTTTTCTCAAAAAACTGACACGTGAGTCATAAGTAACATACCATGTGCTATACATTGTTTAGTGAATGGTTTATGGTTTATTTATATATAATAAAATTCCAAATATTGCTGAATATTTATTTCGTCTATATCACTGGGGACATGAGTGACCATAAGCACGTGAGACCTGCTAAGAAGAAACTAACCAATACGACTGAGTGATTAAGGCTACCGTTATTCAGTTGGTTGGGGAGATCGTGGTATTGCTAAGAGGGAGCACATAAAATGCTTTGCAATCAAATTTTCTTTTGTGTGTGGAATTATGAGTAGTTCAAATATTAGTGTACCCTTTAATATTCTCCAACTGTTCAAAATGTGATTAGCTGCAATGTACTTTTTTA